ATGTAGCTGACCTCCTGACGGCGTCCATGCTGGAACGCGTTCCCTCCCCCGCGAGAAGCGAGGTCCTAAAGGCTTCACCAGTTTGTCATAACGATTCAGACCGTTGTCCACAGTCTCTGTAGCCGGATTCTGCGGCAAAGTTTCCGAGACTGGCCCAGGTCAAGCTCTCGACAGGCAGTGCCATCAAGGCGCGTGCTTCGCCAGCGAACGTACCATTGGACTTCCAAGTGCAGCGTTCAATTGCTTGATAAATTTCCACTGGAGTGATATCGCGATAATTCAGGGCGAGTCCGAAGTGAAAGTGGAACCGACACGAGTTATGGGCAGACTGGGATTATTGATGTCAACGATACTAAATAAACCCAAGCTGCAGGATGAGGCGTACCACAGGAGGGAGACGAGGCCCGCGTTCGCCATCGTCGTCAAGGCCCTCAACGTCTTCTGGAGTCAGCGGAGAGTTTGGATGATGGGCGGTAGCCGCAGCACTGGTGGAAGGACCACCGTGAGGGGTCTCGGCAGTGTTTGGTGCGGTGGCGGATGCCCCGGGTACGTAAGGTGGGCGTCGCGAGCTTGACAATGCGAGGAGATATCCCGTATACTCCACTGTCCGACGTCTCTAGAGGAGTCAATCGAAACTCGGCAAAGAATTGGAATATGCGAGATATGCTGCGTTGCTGTACGACGTGGATTGGCAGAGAGACAGAGAGTGTCAGAAGCGCGCCTCGTCAGCACATGCTGTGAACGGGTGTAATACCGGTGCTTGGCGCCTCATAAATCGTTGTCTAGGCACCTCCAGATAGAGCTGAGCTGAATATTTGTACTTCTCGTCTGGCTTGATTAGCGGAACGCGTTACTAGTAATGACAGAGGCCAGTCGCTCTAGTCAGCTAACAGAAACACATTCCTTTGCAGACAGCATTTTCTCTACGGGCTACTTGTACGCTCGAGTCTTTCCCACCGTTAGCAAGCCCGGCCGAACGGCTGCAAGTCTCAAAATTACACCTACACAGTCTGTGTTCGTGCGAGACTCCTAGAATGAAAGATTGGCCCACCACAGCCCAACAGGTGCTAGTGCCGACTGCAAGCTAGCGTGTGCGTTTCGTCAGGGTCGGACCTGATGCCGGCCGCCCATGTTTATCGTCTTCGGCGCTGGCATGACAATTCAGCAAGCTAGGGGCTGCCGTCGGCGTGCAACTTACGGCTTTGATGATGCACTTTTGTTGCCACTGCAAAACTCAATGTCTCGGCAAGTTCTAGACCGGTCCATGCATAACGTTCGACGGACACGCAACCTTGGACAGCCGCGCAGGGGATCATCGGTGACGCAGCCTTCAGCCTCGGCTATTATTATTGCCACCACCCCAGCGACCTTCCTGCCTCTCCCAGACCATCGTTCCTACGCTAGCCCCAATGTGTCCCGAGTTTTTCTCCCGCCGGCTCCAGCCTTTCCCGCCCTATTCGGGACTGACCAGGGTGCCGGGTGAGAGACGACGGATGGCGGCCGCAAGGCCAACCACGTCAGAACGCAGCCCGCCGCCACCAGGACAAGATGGGTAGCAGCAGGAAGCCCACGACACGGCCATCTGCGCGCGACTCTCCGTCCAGGGCACATGCAGTGCGGTTCGGACGCGCCCGCCATTCAACATTCGACATTCGATAATCACAGCAGCACCAAGGCGGGAACCTCCGCTGTGGCAGCGGCTGTCCGCACGCCAGAACGGCGGGTCGCCGCAGCCGTTGTTGCCTATGTCAGGGAGGCAAGGTCGTTGTTCTGTCATCAGTGCACTGCTGTCAGTGGTCCCATGACGAGACGAGCAGGGGCCCCGTGACCAGATGTAATGGAAGTGGCCCAACCCCCACCCAGTTGTCCAGACCCCCGTCCGTGCGCGCCAAGATACTGCTGGGTGGGCCGACGCGTGTTTCGTGCCAAACTTGACGGCCGCGGCTCGGCAGGCTGCCCCCCCCCCCTCTCCCCTTCCCCTTTGCCCTCTGTTGCGGAGCTGGCTGGAAAGGGTCGCAACGACTTAACGGCAGTGACAAGATGGCAGAAGCATTGATATGGACAGTACACCGTCTGTGCAACCCCCAGAATGCAGCCAGCCCTGCATCATGCGCACATGCTGGGATGCAGACGACGGTTCGTCCGTATCAGGGCGGTGGAAGCACGGGCACGAGCCCCTGCTCCTTTGCAAACGAGAACAGAAGGAAGTGTTCGCGGTGGGAGCATCCAGGTATCTTCGTCCAGGGGTCGCGGGGGAACATGTGAAAGCATCCGCACACCCAGGAAAGATCCGCGATGGCTGATCAGCGGAGTCTGAGAAGCACAGCCGTGGGTGCCCGACGGCACATGGAGAACTTGAGGCGGAGAAATTGCTGGGTGTTGCGAGAAAACATATGTATTGCGACCGGTGCAGCGGTCTCGGAGGCTGTGCGAGAAGAACAGCAGCTTCGTAGATAACCTGCAGGCGACGTGGCACGGACAACGGCTGGTGCATTACAATAGGATCCCAGAATTAAAAATTTTACGGTGCGACGATCCCGTCGTTGATCAGCCGTGTCACAGAGCCGTGCTGTCACGCCGCCCGAAGATACTATGTGCCCTGGCGTCCGTGGGCACTCGAGAGGGAGCAGAACCAGGGCGGCCCGCCCGCCCGCAGCCCGCACAAACCCTCGACGCATCCTCCGTCAGAGCCTACCGGCCGCTCCGCCTCGCAGGCGCCTTCGCCTTGAGCCTCGCCGCGCGCCTCGCAAGGAGCCCCTCCCTCTGCTTCTTCCTCTCCTGCGTCACACTCACCTCACCGCCCTCGGCCGCCTCCTCGCGCGCCTCCGCCTCGAACGCGTCGATGCACGCCTCCATCTCCCGTTGCACGCCGTCCGCGCCGAGCCCCGCCGCGCCGACGGACCACTCAAAGTCGAAGCCCCAGCCGCGCCGCTGCTGCTGCACCGCAGGGGCGGACGCGCCGGATGATGCGTCAGACGTGTCAGACGGGTCAGGGACCGCGGGCAGTGGCGGTGGCGGCGCCGCCGCTGCGAGGACGCTCCCGTGCTCGCGCCACCAGCGCACGAACCATGCGGCGGCGCGTGCGTGGTCCGTGGCGCCCCCGCGCCTGAGCATGCCGAGTCGGCGGGCGAGCGTGTCGAGGAACTCGGCGACGTCGGCCGTCGGCGGCGTCCCAGGCGGGAGCACTGCCAGGTATGCCGGTGCTGGCGGGGACGGAACCACCCAATAGAATAAAAATAAAAAACAGAAATTTCGGAGGCAGCTTCGTCAGGATTTTTTCTTTGTTTCTGAGCGCACGACGGGGCGCGGCAGGAGGGGGCTTACAGGTAGGGTCGAGGATGTTCATGCGGTAGAGCAGGTAGGCCGCGAGAGCCTCGAGGTCGTACAGGCCTTCCTTGATGCCGGCTGTCCGCGCACAGGGTTGGGACGGACGGATGGACGAGGGGGGGCAACATGTCAGTGGTGCTGTTCGCAGAACACGGAGCGCATTGGCAGTTGAATGCTTACCGATGAGGGCGAGCTTGACGCCGCGTTCCGCGCCACGGTCGCCGCGCCCGAGGAAGGGGAGCATGACCCCCGGCGAGTCGTACGAGTAGACGAGGGGGTCGACGGACAGCTTCAGCCGCGTGGAGATGGCGCGTGTCAGTCCGGGCTGCGCGGACGTGCGCAGGGCCTTCGCTGTGGCTGTGGGGGGACGAGGGGGCATCAGCAGCACATCAGGCGCGGCGAGATGATCACTGGAGCAGGGAACTCACGCCCCTCGATGCCATTGCTCCGCAAGGCGTTGAGCAGTGTCGACTTGCCCACGTTGGGCATGCCGACGACCAAAACGTTCATCTCCGGCAGATGCGGGTTCTGTTTTGCGATGTCTGGCAAAAAAAAAAGAAAACGCGGCAAATATTCAGGTCAGCGGTGTCGCCTGCGGAAAAGAGGCGGCGAGGCAGTCGACATACCAACGAGCAGATCGTTCAGTGCCCGGATGTCGCCCTGGCGGTTCCACGCCGCGAAAAAGGATTTCTGGTCCGGGTACTTGGCAGACATGGCCCTGCGGAAAGGCTGCCGAACCCCCACCCACGTCAGCAGGCCGGACGGCGCGAGGGCGGCAGTGCTCCCTACCTCTATGCCCCACTGTGCGACGAGGTCGCGCTTGCTGAAGACGACGATCCGTTCGCAGATGGCGGCGTACTGCTGCGGCCCCGACGACGCGGCCGGGGCAGCAGCAGCCCCTGCGGCGCCGCTGACGTGCCCGCGTTCCTGCCGCCACTTTTGCAGGGCTCCTGCGAGAAACAGCACTGTGTGTTCAGCACGACGAATGAGAAGAAAAAAAAACTATGCAAAAGAGTGGCAGAATGCAGGACGACACGGCGAGCGGCGCCAGGACAGCGACACAGGCTCGCAGCGTGTGGGCGGGCGGGCGGGCGGGCAGGCAGGCCGTCATCATTCTCCAGCCACGGCGCCGCATGCCTCTGCACGCCCGTGACACCCTCTCGCGCCGCCGTCCCAGGCGCACACACACACGCACACACGCAACACACGCACATCCAAAAAAAAAAAGGACGAAAACAAAGCCCGGGAGAAAAAAAAAAAAAAAAGACAAGAGCGGCGCGGCGCGGCGGCGTACCTTCGAAGGAGGGGTTGATGCTCGTGAGCGGGAGGCGCGCGTCGCGGAGCTCGAGCACGACGTCCGTGCGGCGCAGGAGCGCGGGCAGCGCGCGCGCGAACTGGGTCATGTGGCCCGGGTACCATGACTGCGGTGCGGGCAGCGCAGGCAATGCGAGCAGCGCGGGGGCGTGTCGCAGCAGCATGTGCGCGCGGCTTTTTCTCTTCTTCTTCTTCTTCTTCTTCTTCTTCTTCCTGTTCTTTGTCTTTCTGGAGAGGGCGTGCGCGAAAAAACGCTCGGGGGCCTCTGTCGCTCGAGACGCGAATTTTTTTTTCAAGATAATGTTTGGGTGGTCCCTTCAGCCCCGGGACCGTCTTTAGTCCAATCGAACGTCGTTTTTTTCCCACAGAAGCCGCGCTGAAACGATCAACGAGCGATGGCCTTGCCGCTTAGTGGGTGATTCCGGGCCCTTGGGGGGAGGAGAGAGAGAGAGACCTCGTCGACGGGACAATTGGGCGAGGTCGTTGCAAAGCGACGGGGAAGCCAGCGCGCAGGGGGCTGCTGCGGGTGGGACGGGTTGGGTGATCGAGAACAAGGCTCGATCGAGAAAGGACGGCGAGCGGCAGCATATTAGGCGCCCGATAGCCGACGCCCGTGCGCGCGTGGCACCGGGTCCCGCCATCGCCCATATTGCCAGCGGGCTGCTTCTCGCTGCTCGGCCCCAGGTTCAGCCAGCCCGACGGTCCCGTGCGCGCGCGCGCGCGTACACACGCAAAGAGCAGCTCGTTGCCAAATAACGGCGCTGTGTTGGATTCGCTTTTATCTACTGAGACTTGCTGCGATATGTAAGACACCCTGCAATACAATATAGTACAATGCGAAGACAAAAGAAGAGGGAGAGAATTGCACTAAACACGACAGTACGTAGACGACCATGGGTGGCGGGGAGGCAGGAAAAAAAAAAAATCAAGCGTGACTCCAAGAGATTCGAAAGAGTGTACGATACCCAGATTCAGATTCCAGCAGGTGGCGACAAATGGGAAAGGTTCATGGACAGCGGTCGTGGAGGGCGGGGGTTACAGCCGGCATAACTGGCGCAGATAGTGAGACGACAATCGAGCTTTCTAGGCGGCCGGCCGGGTGGCAAGCGAGAAGGGTATCGCCTGCGACGGTGCGCAGCAGATGAGGACCATCGAACCGCAATCTCGGCGGGTACAGGCGACGCACCCGGTGTGGACATGTGTGCCATGTTCTCTCAGACCCAGCTGTCCTTGCCGATGCCGATGGCGTCGAAGCTCTTCCCGCTGCGCGTCCGCCGCTCGCCAGGGATGACATCCACGACGTCGAGGTTGATGAGCTTCTGGGATGGCGGCGGCGAGCCCTCGACCCAGCCCTTCCAGCCCTTGCGCGCGGCGATGCGCTTCTTGCGGAGCTTGGGGGCGGGTGGCGGTGGTGGGGAGCCTGTGCCGACGCTGCGGCCGCGGTGGGAGACGTCCTCGCCGTCGTCTGGGGTGTGCGGCCGCTTGGACGAGGTGGCGGAGGTGCTGGAGGAGATGGACGGGCCGGGGGTGGTCGGCGGCGAGGAGGGCATGGGCGGCGGGGTCACGGAGCGGGAGCGCTGCATGGTGGCGATGTTGATGGTCGGCCGGGCCTGCCAGAAGGAGGACATGGAGGTGGAGGCACTGGGGGCGCGCGGCGGCGCGTGTGGCGGCCGCTTGGGAGGTGCGGGCGCGGCGAGTGGCACGCTCGCGCTCGTGCTGGTGCTGGGAACGGGGAGGGGCTGCTTATCGGCGGGCTTGGTGGGAAGCCTGACGCGCTTTTTGTCCTTGTCTCGCTCTCTCCTCTCCTTCTTCCTGGCCCGCCTGTCCTCCTCCTCCTCTGCCTTCTCGACTGCCTTGTACACGGGGACGCCGTTGAGGAGACTGGTGAGCACGTCGCGCTGCGGACGCGTATCAAAGTCGCCAGCGAGGACGGAGGTCGCTGAGCGTCGCCGCTTTTGAGGTGGAAGGGTGTACATGAGTCGCGGTGGCTGGTCGGGGTCGCGACGGGGGAGGAAATGGGGAAAAGACGAAGGGACGATGGAGCGTGGTACGGGGCACACTTATAGGTTTGTTGTGGTACGGTCACCCGATTGGGCAGGCGGCCGAGGCGCCCGCGCTCGGAGACGGATTGGGCAGGTGCGCCGCTTACGTGATGGTGTTCTGGCTCCGCGCCCATCCACAGGCTTCCACGGACACCTACCAGATTCTGATAGTCTGCCCAGCCTTGGGCCCAGTGTTCCTGGCTCCCGCGAGCCAGTCCCTGCCTGTGGTCGCCCACGAGGGACGCACGGCGCAACACTCATCGCGATAGGGGGCACAGAGCCCTGCCCAGTCGTCGCGTGCGCGCGGACCTTGAATGTTGCGCCTCGTGCCGACAAAGCTGCCCTCCAAGTCTGGGAAAGGGGTGGTGCACCCGTTCGGGGCGTAGCTTGCTGATCTCCCCAGTGTGGCCATGGGGCGTCCTGGCCTAAACCACGTTTGGCTTGCGGAAACGCACGTCTCACCATCAGATCAGGGTCGCTCCTCAGTCTCACAATTACCAGGCGCATGCCCAGTTCGTTCGCCAGCTCCCTCCCTCATTGCCCCGTCCGCCCGCCCGCCCGCCCGCCCATTGTCTCCCGCCCCACAAACGTTGCTACGCGAGTCGTCTCTCTCCCGGCCATGCTCCGGGCCTTCCCACGCCCTTGTACTTGCTGCCGGGCCCAGCGACGCGGCACAGCAAGGGTCCGCTCCATTGTTCTAACTCCATTAATCCCTTTCACGGGCCTCGCGCGTGTTTCCAGGCCTGCTGTCAATATTATGTGTACTGCTGCTTTCCAGCTTCCCCGAGCGCCCTGGATTTGCCAGCACGTCGCTGTCCTGCCACAGAGGCGCCTCGCGAGCCTAATCTTTGTTGTTCCGCTCCCACGTCCACCTGCGTCCTCGACTACGTCCCTGCCTCAGGCGAGCCACCATGCCCCGTTGGCAGGTGAACCCGTTCATGGGCGCCCCGTCGCAGGGCATCCAGCAATTAAGGTTGGCCGGCCCTGCCCCGTCAATACAGTCGCACGACTGTCCCATCGACCGTGATTCGAGTGCTGTCGCCTTCGTCGACCTGACAGATCTCGCGGCCAGAAAACGACTATTTTAGATGCAGACATCAGAAGTGCGGCTGCTGCTTCCAGAGACTTCCCCACCAGCCAGGGTGATCGCGCGCGTGCTCGTACACCGGTCCAGGTTCCTACAAAGGCGACCCAGTCCGTCCCGCACCCTCGGGGCGAGGCTGTGCCTGCCGTGATTTCGAGAAGCCTCTCCTATACTCGAGTCAGCCTCAGCCATCTTCCTCAGCCATTTGGCGTGTGAACTCCCGCTGATTGTTGCCGTCATACTTGGCCTACTAGGATGGGGTCTCCATAACCCGCCCTGAGGCTCGTCCCGTACTTTGTTCCCTCCAGGCGCCGGCGCCCGACGCGTGCCAGTTGCACTGACGAGTCGACGAGTCGACAGAGGCATGAAAAAGCCTGCGATTGGGCTGAAACGCAGGCCAGCACGAATGGCCCCCCCGCTCGGTTTCATGACTCATATGTGTGTCTCCACAGCCAATTCATGAACCGTATTCTACGCGTATGTGCCGTCCGGACCTCCGTCCTTTCACTGCTGACCTTCTGACTCCATCCAGGGAGCGTACACCGGCGCCGTGACTTAGCCACATATCGGCTGTCCTTGGGTTTTTGGCGCCGTTTCCCAATGGGACGGCCGCGACGGATCAGCGAGATCCGTGTCAGAGCACACAGACCCGCATGTGTGTCTCACCGAGGGCAGGGCGCATGCCGCGGCCCTCAAGTCCACGAGCACGCCTGCGTGCATCGATTCGGAAATTATCACCATCCGTACCGACGGCTGGAACGGTTGGAGGCCCACGTCGGGCCAAAAAGCCTGCAAATGTGCCGCCGACGGCCCTGTGCGCACACGCACATTGTTGGAAAAAAAATCGGAAATTCCTGACCATGCATATCACAACGTCTGGAAATACGAGGGTCGCACGGGCTGTGCGCCCGGCTGGGACGGCGCCCTGATGCACCCCGCAAAGAGTGGAGCAGCGCTGCGCCGGGCTGCGCAAGAGAGAGACGACCGTCGTTGCTAGGCGGTTCGTCTGCAACAGCGCAGATGTGCGGTTGCGTATGTCCCCTACCATCCCCGCACGAGATCCCACATGAAAAGACAGACAGAGAGACAGAGAGACAGAGACCCGGCCGCCCCGCTCGCGTTCTTGCCCCCTCCTCCCTCCTCCCGCTTCTCCCGCGAATGTGGCTCACGGCAGCTCACGAAAGGCCCCAGGGGCACACCGTCCCCGTGCACGCCAACAGCAGTGCGCCGGCCGGCCGTACGTGGCCCACGCGTGCGCCGCACCGTGCGTGCAGCCCACGCGGTGCGCCGGCAACCCATACTTTCTTCGCCTGCGCGCACGCGAAACGCAAGGACCTGTGTCGCTGTGCGAGCTGGCTGCGCCACGCGGTGGCTGCAGCCTGCGGCTACGGCTAGTGACAGGTTGCGTTCGGTGTGCTGCCCGATGGTGGCGCAGTCGTGGCGGATCCCTGGTTGACGTGCTACGCCTGTGGTTGTGTGCCTCTCTTGCGCGTCGATCGAACGGCCGGGGTGTGTGCGTGCTGCGTTGCTGCTGCTGCCGCGGTGTATCAGTCTTGGCGTTCGCTCAAGCGGTGGCCGTGACATCGTAAGGATTTTCCTCCGGCCGTGCTGTGCGGACACACACGCGCAGTGCGGTCGTTGAGATGACGTTTGCTGTCGTTCCGACGGTCGCGTGTAGCGCCTTGCACAGAGATGATGTTTTAATTGTTTCCAATCAAATGTGTTCGACTGAGCGATGGGTCAAAGAGCACGATGTTCTCGGCGAAATTTGAGCTGCGAAAGACGGGGCACCGCAATATTGCCGCCGCACCGTGCCAAACACCGCAGACGCTCTGATTTGCTCGTACTAGGTTCAAGCTCGGCGAGTGCACCACGAAAACACCGCAGCTCGGTTCCGCATCGCAGCACCTAGCCTAGGTGCAGCGAGTGTTAATCGGACGAACGGGAGCCGGCACGAGGACGAGGCGGCGTGCGCCGGCCGACCCACAGCAGTGGGACGGGGGAGGAAGGGGTCTGGGGGTGCCGTAAGACCGCGGCAGCAATAGAGCGAGTGGGCGATGCGTACGCCCTTCTCAGACGGGATTAGTCCGGCCTGACACTCGCATGCGTTAGCAGCTCCGTCGCAGCTCGATTCAGCGGGATCTGGATGGGCGATGGGCGGGGCTGTGCTCGTGCGAGGGCTTCTCTGATCCTCCCTGGGGCCCTCGGAGCCCGTCTCAGCCCCATGTGTGGGTGTGTGTTCGCAAGCCGCCGCGTGTGCCGGCCCACGGGCCTCGGGAGAAACCCACCAAGGGTCCGATACCAGAGTGCGCAACGTAGCCAGTCGAAGCAATGATTTTGGGGTTCGCCGCGTGAGACGTGGCGCTCAGGCAGCCAATCCCTTCTCACGGACTCCTTTGCAAAAAAAAACAAACCGTATGCGGGGACCCTTGCTGCTCAAAAGCTCTAACACGGGTGCCTTCCCCGCCGCCGCGCCGCTGTGCGCCAAAGCGGCGGCGGCTGGCCTGCGCTTTTCGGGGCGAACTCGCACTGGGCGTGTGCAGACGCGAGGTCGATGCTGCTGCTGCGCGTGCATGATGGGCGGCCTTTTTTTGATTTCGCGTGCGAAAACCTTCTGCATTGACGGGGATCAACCACTCTGGTGGCGAGGCGGCTTTTGCTCCGCCGGGGCCCGCCGCCCGCCGACCCGCGCGCGGACATGGCCCCGCCCGCTGAGAGACACCTGTGGGGGCCGTCGGCTGCGGCATGGTTGGCGGCGGCGGCGGCCGAGGCGGCTTGCGCACAGCGGCGGGATGGCAGCCCGCGTTCTGCAGCCGCCCGGCGTCCGTGGCCCATGTGGGGGCTCTGGGGGCTTCTCGTGCTGGGCGCACATGCGTGCTCGCCCCGCGGGGGCGCCGGACAAGAGCAGCGTGGCGGCGTGGGTGTCGATGCTCTGTGCGGCACTCCGACGCTGCTTCCGCGGCGGCGGGGGCGAGAGATAGGGCGGATGCGCACATGTCGCTGCGGTGCCTCCCATCATATCGGCAGAAGCGCACTTGTGCGTGCATGGACGCGGTCATTTCTGCGGCCTTTGAATCCGTGAAAGTTTGCGCTACATAGCCACCCAGAACAGCCAGATGCCTCCGAATCGTGAAGCGAGCGGGGAGCACAGGAATGGAGGGCTTTGCGAGCATTCTTAGTAAGGTTCGGAATAATCCATAGGTCGCGTTGGCCTCTCGCGCTGCAGGCGTTCAACTTTGCAGTCGCTTCAAGAAAACATTAACCTCATCTCCGCTGCATGTTTGTCTATCGTGATGCTAATGGAAACCGTTTCTTCTCGACTGTGCACAAAGACAGGCTGCAACGTGGATAGCACATACGAACGAGAACGTCAATGCCACGAAAAGCGCTGAAATGCAGATAATTTCTTGTATGATCACTTCGTGCATAGCTACAACAATCAACCCAAGGTGCTGTCCCTTCAGTGCTCGACTATCCCCACCATTTCCAGGGCCGGAAGATACGCTGATCTCCGCGGACGGCGGCCCCTATGCTACGCATGCGACACCTGCGCAGCAGGTATCGGACGACCCGCGAGCAGACGCAGCAGGCCCAGAGTATGCGCGGTAGAAGCAGCCGTCCACTCATCTCCCCATCGAACGAGGACGTACGGATTGCCGCCCTGCGATGGCTATTCTTGATATTTCCACCACGACTAACGTCCGCTAGGATGCTACCTAGAGCCCAGTGCTATAGGCGTAGGAATGGGCCGCCCTTGGACGCTCCGTGGAGCGGCAGTAGACGGTACCCTGTGGGCCATCTACCTCGTGCACGGTTGGTCCAATAATAGAGACAGTGAGGTCCGTCTCTGACCTGGAAAACAGTTAGCTCTGGCTGGGTCACTGGTAGGCCCATTGCCGTCGTACCCCAGCCGCACGTGGATCCTGACTATATGCGCAGCATTTCCCTGGAATACAGACAACGGTGGGGCGTCCGGAGCGAGCTGAAGGCCTTGCGTTCGTGGCAGTTAGAGGCGTTATAGAGGCACGAAGTAGATAGCTTGAACCCGCACGGTAGAATTGCGAAGGCTTCTTTCGAACGTCTGAACGCCCAATTCCCGGGGTGCAAGAAGCCGGCCTTCCGATAAGGCCATAATCTTGCTGGATGGCTACACCCAAGTGGCTGCACCCCAATCTGTCGATAGTAAGGCTTTTGGTCCGTCTAGTGGTTTAACAGCTTCAGCAGCCACCGCTAATCGTTAGGAAAAAGACATCGCACCATTCTCAAAGCTAGAAAGCACTGACTTGTTGTCTGTCGGCAGACTTCGCATGGGCCGTACGTAGATATCGCTCTGCTCCGATGGAAAACGCGGTGTGATACAAATGATACAATTATACTCAGCATAAAATACAAGATGGATCGACAAGAGAGTATTCCAGAGTCTGCTGCGGTCTAAAGGTCCAGATAATCTTTTCCGCCTTCCCATTGGGCCGGGTCGACCGTACCGTAGGGCCCCACGTCCTTGGCCGGACCGTCGACGTCCATGAAAGTGAACTCACGTTTAAACTTCGCCTCGACGGACGCGAGCTTCTCGAGTAGCGACTGGCAGGCGTCGGTGACGAGCTTCGAGGCCGTTACTGACCCGTCGCTCTGGACCTTGAGCAGGAAATATGGATGCAGAGGGTGCGGGACCTTGTAGCCGGCGAAGAGACAGCGAGAGTCCTTGAGGAGTTCGCTGGGGGAAAAGATGAGGGATTGTCTTCATATGTACGGCTCTTGCACTCACGCCCGAAGCAGGTTCCCTAGCGTGTGGTCCTCCTTCACAATCTTAAAGGTCGTTGCGTTTGGGATCTTCGTGTCCTCGGTAATCTCGACGCTACGTCACACGTCCAGCGCTCGGTCAGTCACATGATAGGCACTGATCGATACGGATGGTAGCTGCTTACAGCTTCTCGCCTTCATCCAGGACAAAGAGCTCATAACGATTGGGCGCGTTCATGTTGCACGTCTACTGTGGAACAGTTCTGTGAATACACTGTGCGTGTTATAGCGAAGGAGAAGCAGCGAGTTTACTGCAGCAGGCATGCCGTACATTTAGTCCAGCGCTGTGTTCACCTACTGTACGCGGAGAGCGGCCTGCAGAGAAATTATGTGAGTGCACTGGAGACTGAAAGCCGACGGCATAAGAGCTCAGGACACGTTTTGTGATCACGGCGAATCATTGACAATAAATAACGGCTAAAGCCAAGGCATCACAGCGGCGGTAAACAGAAGCACACTCACTGAGCACGACGACGGCGACGGAGGATGAAGCGGTTGAAGGCCAGGTCGTCGCCAACCTTTAGCGCGTAAGCAGCTGTTTGGCGTTATTTTGTCTAGCGCGCGACAAGGCGCTTGAGCGCATTGGGCTGGGGGCTCGAAGACAGCGACCGCAAGCCTCCTCAAGCCTCCTCAAGGTCAGTGTGTCGGATTCCTGCACGTCAGCACGCCGTCCAGCGCATTCTGCGCACTCTTGGCTCCAAAACGAATGCCCGTTTTCCCGGATCCCGAAGTTGCGATGCTGGATGGCCCAGACGGACTTCGGATGACGCTTTCACGCTCTTGCGCTCTGAATGCTCATATTTCTTCTTTTGTCTCCTGCAGAAAATGCCGTCCCGGTTCTCCAAGACTCGCAAGCATCGCGGCCACGTCTCGGCCGGTCACGGTCGTGTCGGCAAGCACCGCAAACACCCTGGAGGTCGTGGTCTCGCTGGTGGTCAGCACCACCACAGGTGCGTTTTCGCTGTGATCTCGCTGCAGGCAACCTGGGTTCACGTCTGTACTCG